TAGCATTTTTTTTCAAAAAATCCTTTATATGATTTTTTTTTTTTTTTTTTTTTCCGATCTTCTCACGATGTGTTGTTTTTTTTCTTTTCAGTGCGCTCCAATACTCCTTGGTACAAGACAACTTCAAGAATATCTTCATACCTTTACCAACAGAGAGCATGCTCCTGGTCTCAGGTAACAGTATCGATTATATCCAAACCATGGTCTTCTTTTTGGTTTGGCTCTTCCCTTTTATCAAAACAAACAAACAAACAAAAAAAAAAGATCACCTTTTTCCCTATACTACAATTCACTGACATGTTCAAGCACCAATGCCGAGCTTCTTACCGGATTTCGTTGCCGAATGCCCGTCAACCAAGGCGCGGCGTCGGCCGCGTCTAACGCGGGGATGAACAGGAAGGCCTGAAGACACAACAGGAGTACTAACACACTTTTCTCCATGGCTCATGAAACTCCACAGAGCGGCACATAAGCTCCTTTATATATGGGAAAGCCAACGACCAAAACAAGCACGCTTCCCATCAGAGTCGAAAGGCAGCAGTCACAACTTCCTGTTGGTCCACATGTACTTGCATCACGAAAGATGTCACCTCACGATTTCTTATCGGAGGGCTTTTTCAATAAGAGGAAACGGTCCACAAGAAAACCACAAAGACTCATTTGAATGTCTTGAATGTTTTCAGTCGAAGGTCACCAACCTTTTTGAGAGTAAGAGCCACTTCATGTGTACTGATTGTGTGAGGGGCTCCCAAATTGATATACGTTATAATATATATATGTAAATAACACATTTGTCCAAATTAACTTTTAGTAGTATGAGCATGTGTCATTTTTAACAATTATGTTTGCATTTTTTCAATCCTAATTTCTACGAGTAAATCACAATGTTACAGCACTGGCGGGCTACTCATGTGGTCCTCACGGGCTACTTGGTGCCCACGGGCATCACGTTGGTGACCCCTAAATTCGGTAATGTAAAATGTAAACGTAATGCCACATACGTCAGGGTAGTTTCAAAGTCCAAGTGTGCAAAAAATACATTCCGTAGTTATTTTTGATGCCAAAAGTCCCTTTTGGATGAAAAAGGTGGTGTTTTATAAAATAAAAGTAAGAATTAAATTTAAGTGAAAGTTCAATTTCTTGAAATTTGTATAATTTTAAGGATTTCACGAAAATAAGTTTGTGTGTGTGGGTGTGTCTGGCAAAAAAAAAAAACAATTAGTCCTAATTTTACAAGAAAAAGTAACAATCTCAAGATTACATTTTTGTTTATACCTATATATAAGCGTGGTAGAGTATTGACTGTCAGGATGTACCTCAAGGCACTAGCTTTGGCCCTGTGCTATTGTCTGTACATTTTGTTGCCTCTTCATGGAAAGATTGGCTCACCGCTATTGACAAAAGACGACAAAGCACAGCGTTTGACCAACATATTTAACGTACACTGTACAATGTATTCAAACGTGGACGTGTAGTAAACAAACATGTGAGTTGAGCACATCTTAAGTGTGACGCCATCCAAGAAATGACATGCATTTACAGAGGAATTGGCACAATTATGACACAACGGCATGAGCGGGTCAACAAGCTGTACCGTTTCAACACCCATCATCCAACCACAAAAAACATCTTCCTCTTTTTGTTTCAACAAAAGATGGCGTTGGTGGCGAGAAAATTGTCAATAGCCACCATTTCACCATTTTGGGTGGCATTTACCTTTGGCAACAATGTCCAAAAAAAAAAAAAAATCCAAACAAAAACAACACAAGTACAAACATAAACTCTATGAAATTTCTCGAGTGCCTTCCGTATTTGTGATGCCTTTCTCAACATGTCCTCATAGAGATGCAGTGGCCACACAACCATACTGTGAGATGACGACAATGAGCCCAGCGTCCAAGCACAGGTGATTCATTTATTACGCCAACTGTCCGTACGTGTGTCAAGATGATACAAATTATGTTTGTGATGGCTATTGGATTACAATATCATGTGATTGGGTTTTTGGTTATAGTGATATATTGAATACAAGCTTTCAAAAAGATGCTCAATAGCCATGATTATTGTGGTCAGCGTGAAAAGAAAAACATCTAACTGGAGTAGGACGAGGAGGAGGAGGCGGTGGTGGAGAAGGAGGAGGAGGAACTGGGAACCCCTATGGAAACAGACAGACAGCATGGTTATCTTAGGTTTGAAAAAAACAGTGATGAATAATGACCACCAATCACCTGTAAGCCCGGCGTGCCACATGCTCCGATTCTCCCGCTGCAGTTGGAGCGCCAATGTTTCTTTCGGAACCTCCGTGGTGGCCACTCTCTCCCCTGCGACACATTTCGTACAACATAAAATCAAGAAAAGTATTTTATAAAAGGTTTATTATATTTCAAATAGTTTTATATTTTTGTGGGGGAAAAAATGCATTGAATTATGTTGTTGTTCTTTTTTGTTCCATGTATTTTCTTGAGGCGGAAAAAGTGATTGAGAGTCGATAAAATATTGCATATTATCAAAGAAAAAAGTTTCTTTTTTGTGCACAAAAGAATTTTCAAAAGGTCTTTTCTTTGCATGAGACCAAATAAATTTAAAGAATATTTTCATTTAAAAATAATGTATAATTTAAAAAAGGCTGTATATTCAAAAGGATACATTGATGAAAATTCATATTTAAAAAAAAATCGCTATTGGCACAAGGTGAAAAGAGATGAACAGGTTTGACACGAAAAAAAATATTTTCAAGAAAATAGATGTGTATTTTGAGAGGAAAAAAACGGACAGAAGTGACTATCACAACACCTGCTGCTGTAACAAAATGCTTTGTAGACGATTCAACATAATAATACAACAACATAAAATATCGACAATAATATAACGATAACCGTTTCTCCGTACATACATACCAGCTGAGGCGGCGGCGGTCCCGCGACGGTCATGGCGTTTGTCGACTGCCAGGCCGATAGCAGCAGCAGCAGTTGCACACACAGCAGCAGCGCGAGCACCCGTGTGTCCATGTTGGACCTTTTGTGCAGCCGAGCCGTTATGTCGGCTTATATACACCCGCGGCTGATAGCCAAATAGCAATTCCATGCGTTATCAAAGTCAAAGTGCTTGATTTGTTTACACAAAGCGCAAGAGATCTAAAATGGTGTCTTCCGTCGAGCTCCCTAATAAGATGCTGCCTGTTTATACGAGTTTGCTTTGGAAGTCGCCATGAGAGTGCTGACAAAAGACTTGTTTGTGTTCAGCGTTGTGCTTTGTTTTTTTTTTTTTTTACTTAACCATACTTGGTAATCTCCAAAAAAGAACACGACACACCTTGGACAGAGTCATGTCAGACTTCTTTTTTTTTTTAATAACGTTGCAGGACAAGGAACATTCACTCTCATGGCCGGCGGACCACTTGATTGATGCGCCGCAAAGGAAAAAAGTGCAACGTGAGTTAACCACTTGACTGATGCGCCGCAATGGAAAAAAGTACAACGTGAGTTTCGCCGCTCGACATCGTAGCAGCATTATTTTTATTGAACTACACAAACATGGGGCGATTGTCAGGGAAGAAGTGGATTGACACACACACACACAAAATAGAAACGGGTGAATGCAAAGCACAGACTATGGCTATTTTGACTTCTATACTAACAATCCATCCATCCATTTTCCGATCCGCTTATTCTCACAAGGTGAGAGGCGGGGGGTGCTGGAGCCTATCGCAGCCGTCTTCGGGCAGTAGGCGGGGGACACCCTGAACCGGTTGCCAGCCGCTCGCAGGGCACACAGAGACCAACAACCATCCGCTCTCACAATCACAACTAGGGACAATTTCGAGTGCTCAGTCAGCCTGCCATGCATGTTTTTGGAATTTGGGAGGAAACCGGAGTACCCGGAGAAAAGCCACGCAGGCACGGGGAGAACATGCAAACTCCACACAGGGAGGCCGGAGCCGGGATCGAACCTCTGCACTGGGAGATCGATGCGCTAACCACTGGACCACCGGGCCACACTTCTATACTTAAGTTTTCTAATTTTGTGTGAATTGATTTAGTTTGACTTTATTTCTAGCACATGACCATCGCCCCCCCCCCCCTATGCACTCCAACGGGGATTTGTGTGTGTTTGCGCGTGCATGCGCGTGTTTTTCAACCTCAATCCGATTTTTCCTCATTTATTTCTGCTTACAAAAGCTGTCTGTTCTTGAGCTATATCCACGCGGCTTTGGCCCGGAAGGATTGAGCACAGTGTCGAGGGTCGTACATGTGTTGCATGGCAAAGCTCCCAAAACATTGAACTCTCAAATGCTCATCATCATGTTTCCTTGTTACGTGCATGATAGATGGCCCTCGTACAATGAGAAGCAATCCACCGCATCAAAGCACAAGCGAGTGAGTCGGGAAGGCGGCCAGACATAACAAACGGGTGCTTACGTAAAGACTATTGTCTTCTCCTAAGATTTGCAGGCTGTCGTAGTTTACATCATCACCTCATTCCTGCTACTTTATTGCAAAGTGATTTCGGTGGAGGAAGCTTATCCTCGTTTTTTTTTTTCTCCCCAGGGATTACCGAAGCAGGGCGGTCCTGAACTTGTACTGCGCTGCAAAACTTTCTCATAGGTGGAATAACACTTCAGGGCTCATGACTTGTTCTTTTTCCATGCTTATAGTTTCAAAATAAGACTTATGAAAAACATTTGCATTCTCCTCTGTTCTGACCAGCGCCTACCTCGGTAAGTTGATACACGTTTTGGTTGGTTGAACTAAAAATATCCCTGAGAGAACTTAACCCATTTTGGCATTTGAATTGCTTGGCCACGACATGCGTTTCACTTTTTTGTTTACATTTTTTTTTTTTTAAATGAGATTAGAATGGACATTTTTATCATGAAAAACAGTCACTGATAAAATGTGTCTGTGTTTCAGCAACGAACTAATTATTTGTCGAAATTAAATAAGTTTGGTTTTATTTTGGGCAGATGTATCTACGGTACTGGAGATAAAAGCTGAAAGCCAATCAGCACTCTCAGATTTCGAACTTGGTCTTCGGTTTTTAAAAACTGACTTGAACGATCGACCAATAACAATCCTATTTTCTCTATTGCTGTTTATTGTTTTTCTTGGAGTATATATATTCAATGTACGTATAATCTTCATTTTATTTGTCTGTTTACACAACATACAAATGTATGACTTTTCAACATTTTTATTCTCAGGTTGTCAACCTTTGCCGGCATCCTCTTGTTGAGATGACAACATCGGGCTGAGCAAAGGTCACAGCGTGCGCGATGGGCCGCAAGTTGGATCTGTCCGGCCTGAGCGACAACGAGGCCGAGCACGTGCTGCAGGTGGTGCAGCGCGACATGAGGCTGCGCAAGAAAGAGGAGGAGCGACTCAGGTACGAACGGCGACTCCAGATAGATAGATAGATCCTTTTTTTAGTTGCGTCGGGCGAGGGGCCATTTTGAGTGAAATTTATCATCATCATCATTTTCTTCTGCGTGCCCAAGGTCGAGTCACCAGACCTCTGCAGAGAGGATTATGAAACAATCCTGAGTGAAATGCAATCCCGATCTCAATCTGATCTACTATTATTATGTTCTTAGTTTTGGGCTCCATTTTCATTCCTGGCCTTGAGCGTGCGC